GTGGTGGCCGTGGGCGCCTGTGCCCAGGGGTGTCCCCTGCAACGAAGTCCCCCCGGGGGCAGGAGATGGGAACCAGCAACGTGGCCCCTTCCCATGGCTGGGCTGGGAGCTGGGCAGGATGCGACAGGTATCACTGGCCCTGCAGTGACCGCGGCTCCCTCTCCAACACAGACATCCACTACTTCCACTGCCTGCGGATTGTGGAGATCCTCAAGGGCACTGAGGCCTCCACCAAGAACCTCTTTGGGCGCTACTCGTCCCAGCGCATGAAGGTGAGGGACGGCCCAGGGATCGCGTGTCCGGCAGCGCCCGGGCATCCGCAGCCTCTCCCACCCTCTGCTTCCTCCTTCCCAGGACTGGCAGGAGATCGTGTCCCTCTACGAGAAGGAGAACACCTACCTGGGTAAGGCAGCTCCCTGCAGGGCCTGGGTGCCCTTTGGTCCCTCGGCTGGGAAGAGGAGCAGGTGCCGAGTCCCCCGGGGCCGCGTGCGGCCGGCGAGCAGGGCACGGGCGCCGCGGTGGCATCTCCCTGCCCCCTGCAGCCGAGCTGTCCAGCCTGCTGGTGCGCAGCGTGAGCTACGAGGTGCCCTCGCTGAGGAAGCAGATCGGGAGGTGCCAGCTGGCCCAGCAGGACTTCGCGCGCCGCGAGGAGGAGTGCCAGCTGCGGGCGGCCGAGCTGCGGGAGCGCTTCTACGGCTCCTGCAAGCAGTACGGCATCACGGTGAGCTCCGGACCCACAGCGGGACGGGGGCTCTGCTGTTCCCTGCTCGGGCTCTGAGCCCTCTCCTGGCACGTGGCTCCTTGGAGTAGCTCCTTCTGCCTGCTCTGACCCATGCAGGGCCCGGCAGAGCCCTGTGCAGGACGCCTTGTCCCAGGGGATCTTCCTGCGGTACCTATAGGAAGAGCTGAGCTTTGCAGGGAGACCCCAGAGCTGCTTTCCCGGGGGGACCCGCAGCCCTGGGCTTCCCCGCTTGCTACCCTGTCCTGTCCCGCTCTGGCTCCGCAGGGTGACACTGGCCTTGTCCCAGGGGATCTTCCTGCGGTACCTATAGGAAGAGCTGAGCTTTGCAGGGAGACCCCAGAGCTGCTTTCCCGGGGGGACCCGCAGCCCTGGGCTTCCCCGCTTGCTACCCTGTCCTGTCCCGCTCTGGCTCCGCAGGGTGACACTG